AATAGTGGCAGAAAATAAATTTGCTAATCTGAACTGAATAAGACCTGTATGTATTCTTATAATCGGTAAAATACCAAAATTTTCGTCTAGTTTACATAACTAAAACTAAAATTATACAAGATTAATATTAGGAAATAATATAATAAATATTTCTTTAGTAATATATATATATATATATGTGTGTGTGTGTAATGTTCTAATGCGCAGAAGAAAACACTGGATGTTTTAACAACTTTCTGTATCCATCATGGCTCGTGGTTAAGGCACAAAAATGAAGGCAACAAAACTGAATTTCGACAAATCACCAGTCTTCATTTTCACACATGTTCAATTAATTTGGCAGACAATTATTCAACCATAATTTAATATCATAAATTTTTATGTACATTAGTTTTTTTAAACGAAATGACGTACGCAGTTGAGAAGCAAAGCGGATGCCAGAGCAGCACTTAGAGAAAGGAATGGAATGAGGTAGTTTATTTTGCCAGCGGTATTTATACCAAGTACATACAGAAAGTACTCTAAACTATGACTGGTTAATTTTAGGTTGGTATATAATCATGGAAGCATCTCAAATTCGGAAGAAAAGAGGAATTTAGGGGAAGAGCACCACATCTAGAATCGTTAATTTTGAGGTCGTCAATTATTTTTAAAGCAGCTATCGTTTTTTCTTCTATCTTACATATCTATATTTGTGTGTGTGTATTCGTGATAATTTTTTAGAAATGATGACTAGATCTCAAGATAGCAATACTTTAGGATGCTTGGGAGAGAAGAGAATATACCAATTTCTTTAAATTATGGCGGAGGTGGTTAGAGATGTTGCTGGCATACAGAAAGAATGCGTAATAGAAATATGGAATTTGGAGAACAAAAATAGTAGTAGATTCAACGCATAATTTTATTTCTTATTGCATAATTTCTCAAGACGTATATTTTTGGTTTACGCACCACTATGACTGCGAGAAGCACCTTGAATTCTACATATGTTCACCTTTCGAGGCAATGGATTAAGCAGAGGAATGCGCAGCACAGATTTGCACAGCAAGAAAAAAACAGGAAAACTGTAATCAGCAAGTGGAGTATTTATTAAGTTCAATCCTTTGTTTAAATTTGGACTGAGATCGGACATGAACTTATCGCATTACAGAATCAAAGATGACATAATGTGCATTAGTTTTCAGATGTGACGCAATTTAAATTCCAGGAAGAGAATATAGCCAAATTAAAATCAGGAATTAAAAGGACAATTGTTAAAATAAAATTAATAATTTTCTTTCATATTTTACATCTTACACACATGCACACACACATATATATATAACATACAATTATATATATATAACATATATATATATATATAGTCCAGCCCGTACGTTATTGTATATTTTGACTAATAGCAGACCGCTATTTATTATTATTTTTATTATTGCTGTACATCGGAGTTGCATTTACATTTCTTACACCTTAATGTGTCATTTTGTGCGGACGCGTCTGGAAATTGGAACATAGAATTGAAACTAAATAAATTTTTTAGGACAATTTATCTAATTAATTAAAAAATTTCGTAACGCAAAAGTTTCAATTGTCTGTTTCGGCGAAACGCGTAATGGAGTTAGCTTGGTTCGACGTTTAACCAGAAATTTCCCTTAAAAAGCCAGGTTGGACCTCGAATTGAGCTAATTTACTATTTTCCGCTTTTGTAATTTTTAATATGTTTTTATTTGTTTTATTGTTTTAACTTGTTCAATCGATTGGTTTTTTACTGTGTTTTATTATTCTTTGCCTTGAACTTGTTCACATCGATTATTGGTATTTTACTGTATTTTTTGCCTTTAACTTGTATCCAACGATTGTATTTTACTGTGTTTTATAATTTACATTTTATTTCGCGTGTAGCCTAATTTTACACACTTAAATGTCATTGTTTTTTAAAAAAAACTGTGTTGAACTTTTCCTTGGAGCCACAGCTCCTGGTAACTTTTTGGCGAGCTAACTACAATTTCACTTATCATTTCCTTAATTTTGCAGCATATTGCGCAAAAGTTTTTGACCAAATTGGTGTTTTTAGTATTGTACTTACCACCTATATATATAATTTATTTACTAAAATATTGATTATATTATCTCTTAAGATTAATTTTAGTAGAATTATCTAAAAAGAGTGAATCCATAGTTAGTAAGTTTAATTCCGAAAAATTGTTTTAAAGAACTTGAATGTAATTGTTAAAAATGTTTTAACGGGGACTTGAATTAAATCATGAATAACAAAATTTCAATTGTAAAAAGAAAATTAAATTAAAAGCAAGTAATTAAATTAAAAGCAAGTAACAATTGCCGTTGATCGGAAATTAGTTGACTTTTCAAGGGGAACAAACCAACTTCCATTAAATGAACAATAATTAAGAAATAAATACGAAGGTGTTTCTTTCTTTACTCAAGTAATAAAGGCGATGCCAAACCGACAATTCAAGCTATTCCAAATATTTCCGTGAACTGAAGGGATCAAAAACCAATTGCAGAGCACCAAAGAATTCATTCCGATTAAGAATTTTCGCTAATTCAATTTGAGAGTGAAAAGCAATTTATGCAGTAAATTGATAAATTACTTGAGTAATTGCCCCCAACAACTTGGTGTTATGAAATTTAATTCAAAACTATTTGTAAAAAATTAAACATTGGAAATTGGCATTATGAAATAGAACTCAAAGTAATTGAAATAAACATTAGAAAATTTCGAAAAAAGAAATATAATGCAATCTTTGCAAAAACAAATAAAAAAAAAATTAAAAATAAAAATTGAAATTTAAAATATATATAATAAGAAAAGGGAATGTACGTGAAGATATAAAAGGCCAGAAAAAATATTAATTAACTTGCGTTCTTTCTAGTGGGAAGTGGGCAAAGTTTGTCTTCGCGTCTTACTCAGAAGGGTTGTGTGTCCGAAATTCTTTATCGGCAGCGGGGGCTTTGAATTATTTCAGGCGGCGAAACTTATGTGAAGTAATTTATGGGAGAGGGAGTGATTAGAGATGCTTGAGAGACGTATGTTATGGAGTTCTTACGTGAATGAAACCGTTTGTAAAAATTTTGCATATACTAGTGAATGGGAATTAATTAATTTCTGGCTAATTGGCGTGTCGTAAAACAACACGACATGCCTAGTATTTTCGCTCATAAAGCTCCTGGAAAATTGTTAGGAAAGACATAAAATAAGAAATTTAGAACCAATTTTTCACGAAAACCAAAAATTGAAATTCATCAGTAATAAATTTCATAAAATCCTATAAATGTAAAAAAGAATTAAAAAAATGTTAAAACTGAAATACTTCAAACAAGTAATACCCTAATTCAAAAAATAGATGAAATTTAAAGAATATAAAAGAAGAGGAATTCAATCAACTTCAATGCCACTTCGTCAGGAGGAGGAAATATCACTATATATATATATATTCTTTTTTCAAAGAAGAGGAATGAACAAGAGCGATCGCTTAAAAGTACATTTGATACTGTAGAACTACAGTATCAAATGTACTTTTAAACAACCGCTTTTGAGCTTTCCCCTTCTTTGAAATTATTTTTTAATTTTGCAGCTCAATGCGCAAAATTCTGGACCACATAAGTCTCTTTTGTTCGTATTTTCTTTCTAATTTCGTATATAAGTATATATACGAAAGATTTTATGAAATTTATTACTTATGAATTTCAATTTTTGGTTTTCGTGAAAAATTGGCTCTAAACTTCTTATTTCATGTCTTTCCTAACAATTTTCCAGGAGCTTAATGAGCGAAAATACTATATGTGTGTGTTATCACAAAAACTTTTATTTAAAATTATTCCGTTTGTATAAAATTGGTTCTAAATTTCTTACTTTTTGTCTCTCTCTCTCTCTATATATATACATAAAGAATACAATGTTATTAAATTTATTCTATAAACTCAGCTTTAAACCCTCTGAGTAGCATGAGTTTTGGGATCTCCTCATGACAACCTGTGTTTAAACAGCATTTATCAGCTAAATTTGTATAATTATTTATTTCAGTCTCGGTTTTCACAAACGCTCATTCATTAAAATGATATTCCCATGATTAAAGAAAGTAAGAAAGCAAAATACTTTTTAAATTATTAGCTTATATATACCAACTGACTGAAAAATCTCAAGACTGGATAAACTCGATGATGCCACTCACGGAGTTAAACAACAAATACATAAAGTATTGGCGGAACGCATAAAATGACTTCGCAGGCAGGTTGTGGCTCTCGGGCCGCCAAGTTTGGGTCCTCTATACTCTAAGAAGTGTGACATCAGTCTTGAAAGCGGGTTACACTTTCGAGGGCCACTTTCTTAAAATTTGGAATGATCACATCAAAATGTGAATACAATGTAATCCTTTTTAAAAGCACTATATTAGTTTAGTGTTATCATCTGAAAAATAAAATGATGAAATATAGAAAAAGAAACCTTTCTTAAAAATTTCTCACTTCAAACCTTTTAAATTTTTTTTTGTTTTGTTTTACTGTAGTTTCGCGCTTTTTTGGACCATGTATCTTCAGCACCAGATGGCAAGATATGGAATGAGTATGCAACATTTCTCTGACGTTTACCATCTAAAAAGGAAATCCTGCGCGAAATTTCTATGCGTTTGGGGTTCAATGTCTTCGGGAGAAACTTTCATAAAGTGTATTAAAAATAGTGTATTACAATTAAATCTTAAATTGGTATAATGCGGAACTTCATATAGCAGGAACTCAGATAATTTATGTTAAACTTCATTTTTTTAAAAATTGATTTTAAGCTTATGACTGTTGACGTTTTCCAGATGTTTTATAAATAATACTTTTTTTTTTCTGCAAGACGAAGTAGGAATTAAAAAATGGGAAAACGATTTCTTAAGCTTTTTTCTCGCCGGTACAAATCACAGCATGACGTGAGTTGTTTGATAAGCATGTAAACATTTCATGAATTATTTTTCTCTAATATAACATTTTTTTATTTGTAGATCCAACACAAGCTGGTTTTCCGTTTGGTGGTGAAACACAGTGGAATCCTCATGCCGGTCACTATCCTAACTACCTGGGTCACGGACTTCAGTCAGCAGGTTTTGCACCTTGTCCTCAGGTAGATGTCACGTCTCACGACTCGGGTCACGCCACGCCTCAAGCCACGCCTACAGGTAGGAACGCCTTCGTTTTGTATGTTTAGTCTATTGTTTCAAAGCACGCAATAAGATTTATGGCTAGGCTGTTAACTTTCTCATAGCCACTGAATTTACGATGACACACAATCGTTTTGACAAACGTCTGTGTAGAATTAAGAGGAGGATTGTAATTTTTTTGTTGTGTTTCTTGTCAAATGTAATATATTACAGCATGTTTATTTATGTTGATATTATCTGATTTTCTTTCAATAGTTTTGTTTTTTATATTGTTCAGTTGTTATGAAATCAATTTACATTCTGTCTGATTGGTTTATTTATAAAAAGATAAGTTTTTATGAGTGCAAAGACTTTTATGCGTTATTTTCACTCATATTTTTCAGTTAACGATATAAAAATATCGATACGTAAAGATTTCCCATCATGTAGTGGAACGGAAACAGGAGTCTGTATTAGTGTTATCTTATATGCATATACTAGACAAAAAGTCAATACAAACAGATACAATACAGACAAAAAGTCAATATTGTTGTAAAATGCTAATTTTGTAAGAAATCTGCGATACTTTGACCTGCTTATTATTATTCAATGTAGGAATTTTAAATTAATTTTACTTTAGAGGAATGGGATTTTGTAGCTGATATGTAGAGTTTAGCCTACTAGTAATCGAGCACTAAATTCGTTGATTACAGTTAGTTCGACCCGGTTTTGAATTTCGTCAAACGGGCTGACTGAATGGTTTTTTCATAGTTTTCGCCATGCGCATTGCATAAATATGAGTTAGTTTCCCTTAAAAAGCCCTGTATCTCTTCCTTTAAAGGTAGGCTTGTAATGGGAAATAAAGTAAATAAAATAAATAAATAAAAATTACGCATACAATTTGAAAAGAATACTAGTATTACAAAAACGTCTTACTTAAAATTTGTTAAACATATTAAAGTGCTTTAAATGTTTTATTTGTGATAAAGCAGACCTCGAATTTATATTCTGTCTTCTTCCAAGTAGCCTGAATAAAAGAATTACAGTAAATTGTACGTTTTAATCCCCTCTTTTACGTTCTTTTATGTTATGCACTATTAACTTCTATTACGCTGGCTTGAAAGGAAAAAAGTACCGATCTTTATATAGTTTGAAGCTAATATAACCATGATGATTTAAGATTCAAATGTGGAGAATAAATCAAGTTACCAAGTTCTTACAAAAGTCTGTCGGATTGCAAACAAATGGAAGTTGTTATGGCTCACTAGCTTTGATTTTTACGGAGCACTCACTTGTGACCTTTAAATTTAGTCGACATCTGAACTTATAAGGAACTATCCCATTCTCCTTGAGTGCCGTCGTGTTTTAATGTTAGCAGGACGTTAAGCTAGCTATTCTGAGATCGCTGGTTCGAATTCTATCAAAGGTACAGTCGATTTGTCACATTTCCTGGCTTCAGAAAAGTTAATGCTCTCCATAAATTATCAGTATAACTTTATTTTTACTATAAGGTAAAACTGGAATCCATTAAAATGCACTGAATGCGCTTTTATGCTGCATGATACTTCTATATTTCGTACATAATATTGTAATACATAATTTAGTGCATTTTTTTTTTTTACTTTAACTGAAACAAAATGCGCATTGTATTAACTTTTATGTTGCACATTACAAATATGTTTATATATATTATTTTATTTTAACCACAAAATGACTGTTTCAGAAATAAAACTGTTTACCTGCATAAACTTTGTCGGGTACACAAGATGTCTGAGAGAAACGTTTTAAACACTGTGTCCGCAATTAATATTCAAGGCAAACCGTGTTCTGCAAGATAAAAAGAAAATGAGAGCGATAAATTGCTAGACTTCTTTATATGTGAATGCGAAGGCATGGCTGTTACGGCCGGGGGAAGTATAACAACTTTTATAAGACAAGACAAGCAGAAGTGAGGACCCCAGAACTTCACCAGTGATTTTACAGGTATGGTCCCATCGTCATAAATACACAGTTTCGCCCGAATTTGCTGGAGTGTACCCCTGAGGACGGATCCGAGAGTCTCCCAGTTTTCTTGCACTACTACCAAATCTTTTGAGAGGACAGCGCGTCAGTATCGTAAGTGCCCCATGTTACTCAGCATTATATATTTTCAAACATCCAAGATTCGCACGATATATACAACATTCGTTTAGATGGCATTTCAAACATTCATACTTCGGGATCTGAACATGGATCCAGCGAATGGCAACCAGCATTGCCAATTGCTGTACCGATTAGGGTGACAGATCAAGTTTTATTGTGGATTCTTTTATTTTCATTGATTAGACGACATTTGAAAAGTTATATTTTATAAAAAAGGAATACATTCGACGTTCATATAGAAACTGACTGAAAATTTTTCAAATACTTCACAGAAGACACTGAACCGTTTGCTCATTAGACTAAGTGATAAATAGTACGGTCTTCTAAAAGGAAACTTCAAAAATAAAATATCAATTATAACCCTATTTCACACGCCGTGAAAAGAAGAAGGGAGATCGTGCAGGACCCCGAGATCGGAGAACCATCCTATCGACCAAGAAAAATTTCCGATTGAGCTAAGAACAATTTGAAAAGTCAACAGACCGCTTTTACAATTTCCGAAAAGCAAGCAATTGACTTCCAGCTTTCATTAGTAGCTGGCCCGATCAATAGGAAGTTAGGGCCAGTTGAAGGGAAGGACCGTGAGGATGAGGGGGGACTTTCAGCTATATTTAAGGGGAGGGGGTGAGGAATAAAGTCTAGGAGAGTTCTGGAAGAAAACTCTTCGCTATAATCATTTTAACATTTGAAGTGTTGACAGTGATGGATCCATACGAAGTGGCGACGGGTGGGGACGCAGGTTCACTGTAGGAAGACTTAACACAAGATGGATTGTTGAGCGCTGCGGCTGATGCATATTAACTCATTTTAAATGATACGCTGCACAGGGGCTGCTTTAATTGCTTATTTTCGGTACCTTAGGAAACTGCGTGTAGTCATAGGCACCGCGATGAATATGTTTGGTGGTGGCTTATCGACCGGAAAGTGCAATTTGTTCGATGAATGTTTTTGATAAAATTCCTGTGATGAAGGAACGGGATGTGCTGGAACAACAGACTAATAACAACAGAAGAAAAAAATTACGAGTGAAAATTATTTAGTAATTATCGGCGGGTTTTTCGAAAATAAAGTAGAAGTTTGGGGAAGTAATTATTAAGTAATTTGTAAGAAGTGGCGGCTGTTAAATGCCTGGTTAGAAATAACTGAAGGGTGGTAAATTGTCATTTGAGGTATCGTCTGCTCCAATAAGAGGGGATTTTTAAAAATAAAAGTAGGTGGCGACAAGGCTAAACTGTTTTAAATGTCCCAGACTACCCCTTTATGTTCTTTTTTTTCCACCGGATTATTGTCATTACTTATCATTTTAGTGCTTCAGTTGTTGTTTTTCGAATCTCTGCGCTAATGCGTTTAGCCACTTTGCTTGTTAAATTGTTTAAAATGATTCAGAAAAGAAGACATAGTTTCGAACAACTTTTCTATCGGAAAACTCAGATCTTGTTCAAGAAAAGAATGTAAAGAATATGAAGCATATAGAATTTACATAAATTCAATAAAATGTTTTTAGGTCGGCAACCATTATACATGAAATGAACGAAACGTACAAAAGTGTTTCAAGCAATCAAAATCATGCTATGAAAAATGGAATGCAAAATATTAAGTAGTTGTGGAATAAGATCAATAAACAGCCAGGCAAATCTTAAATAGAAAAATTACATTTTCAATTATAAGAAGTAATCACTAACAACCAAGAATGGATGAAAGAATAATGATAATAATTATGAAATATAAGTAGCATTACAGCACTTACAAAAACATATTTTTATCGTCATCATTAACAAAACTAACCTTTTCTATTCTCTTACATAGTGTAAGATTAGAAACGTCTTTTATGAATTGCACTAATTTTTTTTAAGATTATCAGTTAAATGCATTATAAATTATATCAGTTAGAAATATTTATTTAAACTAAAATAAGAACTAAATATGTCAAAAGTATATATCTATATATTGTTGCTAAACTGTTTAGTTTATCAACGACTACTTTTATGTTTTGAAAGATATCTTAAATATCGTCTACTCCCAAAATTGCAAGTTCCAAAACGTATAGTCTACCAGGAATGGTAATTTATAGGTAATCTGTCGTACGACTGGCAACAGATGAGAAAAATGGCAATCTGCCAAGTCACATATTGTTGTTATGTCACAATGTAACGAACGTAACATGATACGAAAAATGAATTGATTTGAATCTGAGATACAAAAGTTATCATCCAAAATGAAGCAAAGAAATAAAAGACGTTAATAAATATCCGCTTTTTTTCGTTCAATCTCTAATTTCATTACATTACATTAATTTACTTTCACTCCCAATTTGTTTCTAATTTGAAAACATATTTCAGTTTTCCTGCTGCAAAATTGGCAACAGTCGTAAAATTTGCAATTTGCCAAAAAGGAAAGTAAAGCTTTAATGAAGCAAGATGAAATACAGCGATAAGAACTGGTAAATTGCTTGAATGCTGTGGTAGCATAACGTAATGCAACGAATATATCGTAATGCGAAAATGGGAAAAATTCGACTATAGACGTTTCTCATAACACAATGTATAAAAAGACAGAAAAGCGCTCTAGTATTAAAAGCAGTAGGTGAGAGAAGAGCCGCTGGGAAAGAGAACTTAATTTAGAAATTTTCGATTTTGTTCGCGTAATTAACGAAACCCAAGGTAAGGTTTAAAGCATATCCAGTAGTCACTTTATAAGGTATTTTTTCCCTCCTTTCCGCATGCCTTCGTTGTGTAATTGGAAGCATACTCGACGCATATTCGAGAAGTCCAGGTTTCGAGTCCTGGCGAGGGTGCACATTTTTCCAACTTGAGTCTCCAGCATCAAAAATCATAATGAATCTACAACTCTACTAGTTATGAACTTTTATAACAAAAATCTTTGAATTTATTTTAACATAAACTGCAATTCAAGCCTCGCATGAATTTTATTAATTTAGGTAATAAAATATCTAGCTTTCTCAGATACCTTCTTTAAAAATTTTGCAAGATCTGATCATTTGATAGTTACTGCTGTGTTTCACATAAATGTAACTCATTCATATATTTACTCATTTACAAACTTCACAAAATTCAGCCTACACTTTATAAAAACGTCAATTTCGATTTTCAGTTTAAATAAAGTTTGAGTTGTCGTTAATTCTTACCAAAGATAAGATTTATATACTGTAGAGGTGTAAAGTAATTAACGCATCTTAGCTGCTTCTAGCTCCTAACACTGCTCTAGAGGTGTAAGTAATTCTAATGAAAGATCCATGCTTGAAATCTCTTTGAAGACACATTTGATTTTTCATATTTCTCGCGCTGAAAAGCCTAATAGCCGCATTAAAATAAGGAACTTAATAATCGTCACCAGTCGGATTTGGACAATTAGGTTTTATACCTCTCCCCACTCGCTTTTTAAGAGAAGGAGAATATTTGTAAGTATGCAATTATGCCGTGTCTGCTCTTGTGATCTAAGTAATCGGCACGCATTTTGCTAGCATTAGACGATACGTTGTTCGATTCCCGGTGAGGAACGGGTGATTTTTCTCGTCTCTCAGATCGAAAAATCTTAACCTGTACCATACGAGCTTCCTTATTTATGCTGCACAATTTTCTCCTCTCATCATACGAGCATTTAGACATACGATACATTTAGTTTCTACTTCTGTGAGAAACATTAGTTACATTTCAACCCACCTTAAAGTTTCCAATGTGATTTCTTGCCTTTAACAACTGCTATATTCAAATTTGTGTTAAACTTTTAAGTTAAGAGTTTAAATAAACTTGAGAGTAATAAAGTCATCAACTAGAATTTGTAAACCTCAAGTGGTGCATGCAAGCTATAGTACTACAATACCAAACAACGTATATCTTGCAAAGAGTAACCCAGTTAAATTAATGTAGCTTACTTGACTAAAACTTTGAAAAAATCTTCTTAACGGCCTTATACTGTACGACTAGTACTGTCTGCGTCCCATATAAATTAAATATTTTAATAATTAAAACTAAAATTGAATTTATTTACTAACTTAAAAGTATAACACTGGCAATCTATTATGAATGCCGCTTTTAGGATCAGCTCGGCTGGTGGTGTCCGAAAAAAGGCTATCGATTTCTTTTTTCATTTTCTGCATAACTTACTATAAACAACTAACTTTTTATACAACTACGAAAAAATAATATTCTGCTCATTTATCTATGAAAATCGCTAAAATATGTGAAAAAAAAGGCTCTTCCGTTAAAATGCTGTTATTCAGGCGCCATAATGATTTTGTTTATTAAGTTGTTGTTTCTGATTCCATTTAATTAATAATCTGTATTTTAGATCATTACTGATGAGATGAAAACAATTCTAACTTTTCTTTATATGTTACAGGTTTATTAACTGACCGACATTCCACAAGCACAACTGCGGCGTTCCAAAACCTCAATGATCAGCAAACTTCTCCTGTTTCTCTCAAGGATTCTTTATTTGTAACGCGATATAACAACGCTGTCGTCGCAGCCTCTGAGCTGTGTCTCACTGACCGCTTGACAGAATTACGACATGGACTGTCTGGTAGCAATTCTGCATCGTGCAGCACTTATGCCACTCCTCATCACTTCAACAACACATCTCTGGCTTTCTTGGCTGCTGGCACAGCTTCCCACAATACTAACCTTCCATATTTTACCGTCAGTCATGGTAGCTACAGTTTGTTGTCAACTGGGCATAGTTACTATGGTAATGCGAACCCTTCTAGAGCATCCAACCCTTCCTTGATGGCGGCAGCTGCTGCAGCTGGTATGTATCTGACACCCCCAATGGTGACACCCTCCTTATTGTATTCTCAGTTTTACTCATCTCAAAACCAAATACAATCTTCAGTACACCTTTTGAATAATAATGGAGATACAAGAAACTCTGCTACTGAGGAAGATTCTACAGTTGTCCAGAGATGTCTAGATAGCGCCGGACCTTCTATTTCTAGGGACTCTAGTACTGGTGATTCCATTCTTCAATCGGAATGCAGCAGCAATCATAGTACAAGTGACTCCAGGAGAAATGTATCCAATACTGACTTAAGAGACAGAGAGACAGATATCCCTAATCAAAGGCAGCATCTTGTACCTTCGGACAGTAACACCAACAGTCGCGCGGAACTTTTTTCCTCTGAATCTAATGGACACGTGCAAAGTGATTCAAATCTCTGGCGGCCGTATTAATTTTTTTCTTATATTTTACTGTCCGTCCTTCATAAACTTTCATCAAAGGTACTCCGTTTCGCGATTATTTATGCTAATTTTTAGAAAACAGTGTGTGTCGCCTCACATCCAGAACCTCTTTTATCGTACAGTTCACAATATGTCAACTTGAATATATTCAATAGTCATGTTATTTATCATTTGAATGTTTGATTACAAATCAAATTATGTCAACTTGAATATATTCAATAGTCATGTTATTTATCATTTGAATGTTTAATTTTCTTCGTTTCCGAGCAGAAATACTACATAAAGAAATAAAACTTGAAAAAATGTATTTAAAGAAATAAAACGTGATATTTATGTTCGATTATAGTATAATGTATTTAAAATAATTCTTTTTCTTATTCATAGTTTAATTCTCATTAAAACAGTGAGCAATTATTAATTTTAAATATTAATCAATCTGATTTCTTCATTATATTAAGAGAGTATCTTCATTTCATCTTTTTCAGCTTTATTAAAATCACGTGTGTTAATTGATTGAATATTATATTTTTCCATTAGAATCTGCCAAGGTTTTCAGAACAAGAAAGGAAGACTTTGTTTTATATTTATTTAAAAAAAAAATCAGAAACTTACAAGCAACAAAAATATCTTAAATTTATCTATATAAAATTTATTTTCACTCAGCATAACATAGCCATGTATGCTGAGATTAACTTGAAAAAATGTATTTCTACAAGTCTTATTTTAAAGAGTATGTAATATAGTGTATTTATAAAATTTATATTTAATTTATGTTTACCATAAGTTTAACTGGTTATTATTAAGCTTATGAATAAAATTCAATCATTTAAAATATTTTAATCATTAACATTCTAATTTATTCAAATATATGTAAGATGTTAAAAGTATCTTTGCTTTCGTTCAAAGTTTTTCTAGCATATTCTTTAAGTGCATTCAATATTTAACTTTCTTACCTTCCATGTGTTTCGAGTTACTAAAACATTGATCAAATAGTCTATATAAAAAATTGCCAATCTGCATTTTGTTTCCTACTAAACATATAAATATTTATGATATTCTTAATTACTTGAAATAATTGTTCATCGGGAAATACCGCATTTACTCGCATATCCCCCCCCCTTTTCCCACTAATTTTCCCGCTTAAAAGCAGTTGGCGGGGATAAGTGGTGTACACTATTTGAGAGGAGACGGCTTAAATGATAAACATAGCCCATAAAAATGCCGCATAAACACACGATAATGTTATTATAATATGTATTTCGAAGGAACTTATCAATTTCAATAATATTCGTTTTACTAATACAAAATGCATTTTTGTTTGTACCTATATCTTATATTATTACCATAAATCAGAAATTTCTAAATCATATGCGGAAAATACACGGGGGAGGAATACACGAGGGGAGAAATATGCGAGTAAATAGGGTATATATTCAAGAAGTCTTCATTCATTCTATCACAATTCACTATTAATTTCATATATATATATATACAAAACTTCCGAAAGTCTATTGGAAAATATGTAAATTCAATAACTGCTTATTTGTAATATATTGATCAAAACTGAGTTCTGATGAACGAAACAATCATTCCTGAATTTCGGAACATTGTCCTGTATATATGTATCAAATTGTATAAATGTAAATAAAGTCTAAAATTGTCATAATTTAATCTCTGTTTAGAAATTGCATTCCTATTATGCGTACATTTAGGAAATTAATAAAAGTCTGTTTACAAACTGTTTCGTTTTCATAATTGCTTATAGTGACATACTTAATATATATAAATATATATGCTGCAATATTGGAATTATTATTTTGCTTATTGCTTTAAACTGAGCCAAAACATAAATGTATTCTCTGTCGGTTTTACTACAAGAATTCTGGAGTCTGCGATTTCGCCCTGCTGAACCAAAATAGAAATTTTGACCCCAAGTGGTATAAATATAACTGAATATTTAATATTTTATGATAAACACTGAGATGAAATAGCTATTTATTGCACAGTTCTAGCAAAAACAGAATTTATGTTATATAGATATATCACGTATATTTATATCACATAAATTCTTCTGCATGTGCAACATTTTCGCCATGTCAAGGCAATCACTATTGTTGCTTTATTTCTAATTGTACTTCAAAATGTTTAATTTCTCTGGATGTATCCATCTGAAACTAATTCAAGCCTTTGTTCATGAGTTATGATAAAGAAAGCGAGAGTACCCAATTAAGACGTTAGACGCGTTCGCGGAGGACGTTTAAAAATCATCTCGTATTCTGTATGTTGTGTTGCTTTAACTTAAATCACTTATTAATTTAGAAGTCAAACAACAAAAATCAGCGTTTTATTTTCAAATTTCATAGGACTAGTTTCAATGGTTTTACCGAACCATCATTCTCAGCTGCAAAAGCGCAAATGAACGAGATAAGATAAGAAAACCTGAATAGGATATAAGCTACTGGCGCCATCTGCTGATGAAACCAGAACTAAAACATAATTTCTTTAAAGGCTGAAAGTAAAGATGGATTGGAATTAGCGTCGTTAACTAGAACTAAAAGATTTTTTTGAATGTGAAATGCCTCTAGAAAATCCAGTTCATCAATTGAAGATGTATTTTTTAGTTAAATTCACAAAATATAATTCAGCAGTAATGTCATTTAACACTACGATTCGATTGTTAACATGTTTAATTACGAGTAATTGTTTCAACCATATATTTTTATCGTTATTTTAACCTTAAAAACAAATTTGGCATTGGATTATAGTAAAATACATTAGAGCTATTTGACTAAGGGGAGCGATGGCATCGTGGAAAACGTTTTAGATGGAACTGGCTAATATTCACATCACTTATGGGGAGCCAGCCCGTTTCAAGGATTTGAATTCGGATCGAACTACCAGTGTTCAGCAATTTAACCGCTACGTCGCTGGTGGGCCCTTAAAAATTAGGCAGTGATACAAGCGAATGGTAGAAATTAGTTGCTCCAATTAAGAAGTCAGTTTATAAGGTATTTCTCCCACTTTCCTAGCGAGCGTTCGTGGTGTAGTGGTTCTGCACACTGGGCCGGTATTTCAGATGTCCGTGGTTCGATTCCCGGCGAAGGCGTTTGCTAATTTTTCATCTTGCTGGCCTCTAAAAAAATCCTAATGACTCTACAAGTGGCGCCCGAACTAAAAGGGTTGTGGATGATGATTCTCCGCACCCAGGATTTGGCGACTGGGTCCCCTAAAACCCTAGTCGCCCTTTAAAAAGGGGAGTATATAAGGTATTTCTCCCACTTTCCTAGCGAGCCTTCGTGGTGTAGTGGTTCTGCACACTGAGTCGGTATTTCAGAGGTCCGTGGTTCGATTCCCGGCGAAGGAATTTGCTAATTTTTCATCCTGCTGGCCTCTAAAAAAATCCTAATGAATCTACAAGTTCTTACAGTATGAGCTGTTAGTATTCATATATTTAGGGTTGGTGCAGCTTAATTTAAATGAACGCATTTCAAACTCGTTCGTTGCCACTTTGCTTGCACTGTGGCTCACAAGTAGCCAAATGGATAATATTTACGAATACTGGTATTATGTTCCCGGAAAACGGACTCGCTGCATTTACCTTTTCGTAATTTTCTTCTAATGTAATGCAAATACGAACTAGTTTTGTACATGTATAGTGTTTGGGGGGGGCATGGGGTACTCTAAATATGCAGCGAGCCAAAAGTCTTCTCGATAGGTTGTTGGTAGGGAAAGAGGGGTGGGAGACTCTCGGACCGATTTCCCAAGGCTACTTTCCTTCAGAGTTGGGGATGAAACTGATCTTTCAGCCCCAATCATCTAGTTTTATGCTATTGTAACCTGCATGATGTCCAAGGCTTTTGCCAACGACATGCGCAATCTTGCCTCCTTGCCACGATAAATTTCGTGGGCTTGTTCTGGTGTTGCTATCAAACAAGTGAGTTAAGTCACAACAGCAATTACAATATAGTTTTGCTGATAAGGTTCTCTACGTACCAATCCTTCACCTTAGCCCTTGGTGTGCTTTATGGTATTAAATTAAGCAATAAAAAGTATGGACAGTATTGTTTGTTATCATTGCGATTATTTTGAACAAGACTAATCTGAAACTCTTTCATCGGTAATTTCATGTTGTTTTCCTATTATTACAGTGAGCATAAAATTATAAATATTTAAACTTTAAGATCTGCACTAATTTGGATATCCACTGCTCTGGGAAAAAATTGAATGTAACAACTAATTGAACCTACTTACCAGCTGTATATCTCACTTGTTATTCGAGAGATCATAACTGACTTAATAAGGCAAAAAAAAAAGTAATTATCATCCGTCACTGAAAATAGTGGAGTCAAATATTGAAAAGCAGGCGGGTGAACATTAGCCAAAACACAGTACTGATTTAAAAAAAAAATAATAGTACCAACAACTTTCTTGCTCATGAATGCGGTGTGTTATTGCGAAAAGATTCTGGTGTCTTTTCTTGCACTGTAGATTATGTTACTTGTATACGCTTATGTCTCACAAAATTGTGTTCTACTGAAAAAAAATATTGCTTTAAAACAGCTGTATTTCTAAAATGAAACAAGTATTTTTTTACTGATAAGAAAAATTAGCTTTTATACCTCTACTGCTAAGAAATGCTATCTTCAATTTAAATCACAGATATCTTGTTAAATTAACATTCGGTAAATATGGGAACCTTGGTGATGCACAGAATTCCTTCTCTGTTCTTGGAACTACTACTTTCTTCACAATTTCTTCATCTTCTTCTCGAAACACTCCTTCTTTGTTTCTTATGGCTTAAAAAAAGTACTTGACAGAGGTACGTGCAATTTTCAGAATTTGGTTTTCAAGAAGGATAAGTCCAGGAGCCCTATCAGAAAATGGTGTCTCATTCAGACTCTCTTCTTTCGGAGTTACCCCTCACTTCACTCACATCAAAAGAATCCTTGCGTAAATATTTAGAGGTTGCCTATATATGTGCGATAAAAAAGAAAGAAAGAATTCTTGAAACAGATGATTACGTGCCACTGCAAGTGTTTACGATAATCAACCGTTCTGAGTATGTACATTCGAACGAGTCTGTTACTATGCAGTCCCGTACTTTACAGCGTATTTATAAAATGCATTGGCCCATTTCTACCATTAAAATTATGGCTCATGAACAGCCACGATATATCTTTTGACGCTGCACAGAAGACGAAACGGCCGTTGTTAAATTTCTGGCGTAGTCCATAGAGGTAACTGGAAGACAATTTCGTTTTATATAGATGAACTTTCTAATTTATGTTGTGGCCGGCTTTTATTTAGGCGACTTATGCTTAGTAGCGTATGATTTGGGTACTGCAAGCAAGGAGGAGATATACAGCGCTAAACTTATGGCATGTCCCATGGAGCTAACAAGGAGACTAATTTCTTTTTCTCCATGGATATTATTCTTGCCTCCATGGTATGGCTACTTGCGTTTTGGTGAAGCCTAGTTCAAACAGTTTTGTCGCGGTTTATCTAGCGTACTCGAGCAACATACTAACTCCGCTGGTCCTGAGATGTTATTATAAAAACATCTTAACAAAACGATCTTTCTTCCAATCAAATCAGAATTCCACGAGTTTTCTCAGCATTGAATTGAAAGAAATATTTAACGGTAAAGCTCATACCCAGCTGATATCTTAATGATCACGGTAATTTGCCTGGACATATATTGATTACAGGCACATAGATTTGCATAATGAAGAAGTGAGCTAATGTTTAGTGTGCATTTTCTTTAATAATTTTTAGTAAAAAAATTAATAAAGAAATAAATTAATTGATCATAATAATTTAATTTAATTAATTTAAATAATTAATAAAAAAAAAAAAACCATTTTTTAAACAGTATGTAGTAAAATCAGCATTAGATCATTTTTTAATTTATTATTATATTATTTTTATTACCCTGACTTCTTGAAAACTTGATACTTTTTCTTCAACCAAATACTATGAAAAAGAAAACATCCATATGATTAATTAAAATAAAATAACACGTCGAACAAGTATTAATTTAGAATTCAAAAACGAAAATCAGCGTTATATTTGTTATAGTTTGTTATAATATTATTTGTTATAATCAGCGTTATAATTTTCAGAGTAGAAACAGTAAAATTTTCACTGTGAAAATTTGCAAGTATTATGGTGATTTTTATTATTTGAATTCTAAATTAATCCATGCGATTGTTTTTTCTCGTCAAAATTAATCTTTTAATGTTTGTTTTTCGCATTTTCTTTCATTTAAAGTAGCATTATTAGTGATATAAATCTTGTTAATTTTGAGGAAAGTGAAAATTAAAAGTATCAAAGCAAGCCTTCTGAGTATTATAAACTAAAGAAATCCATAATTCCAGAGTATCTGGACGTTAATATTTTTATATGCTTAATGTTTTTAAATGTATATAATTTATTTATTAAATTAAGCAATTTCGGCGAAAGAAAGTGAATTTTTTTATTAATTTGTTCTGTTTATTTTAAGTTTTTGTCAGAGCTAAAAAATTTTAGAAAACAAAAATGTATTTTCATTGATTTGTTTCTAGCAAAGAAATCTATGCCTTTGCTGGAGCTTTAACAGTCAAAACTACGATTTTCGATTCCAACGGAGCCATTCTGGCAAATTCAATACCTTGTGTTGCAGCACATATGTC